ATCATTTTACCTTTCATCCAATCCCCTGCTTTTTTTCTCCCACCTCCCCAATCTATCATCAGTGGATTTCATGTATTGCACTTGCATCTTTATTGTCATGTATAAAATAAGGTGCAAAACTGCCATTCTCTGGAGCATTACCCTAATCTGTTGAGATTTAGCTTCCTGGCAATTGTCGACAGTATCTCAAATAACTCGAAAAAATTCTCTAGGTTTGAATGTTCTTCCTTTGACATTGTCTAGGATTCCTGGCAAATCATAGACAGCCCCCCCACCACCCCAACTCTTCCAGCTACTGCCACCTAACAAGTATTGCACAAACTCCATGACTTTTGACTAGGTAGTATCATTGCCTTTGTGGAAATAGGATTTTCTTGTGTTCACAAGCCTAGATAATTCAAGTCAAGAGGTAATAAAAAAGTGCACTTTGAAAATTTTATAAAGGGTTTATAACTTACCATCCTGGAAAATATGATACCACTTTGATAGATTAAATGATGGCCTGACCCATTTTATCTTTGTTAATCACTTTAGAAAGGAATGCCTTCTGAGGAGTTCAATAAATGGGAATTAAGTGTGTTTTATGGCAAAAAGTTACAGGCTGCTTGTCAGACCTTATAAGGATTGTATTACATACAGATGTGAGTCAATGTCTGTTTTAAATTATGCAATATATTAAAGTACTTAGCTGCTACATTGAAAGTAGTTTCTTCCAAATTTTTTTTATATTATAGTTTTTAAGAAAGTCACCTGGTTTACAGCCTGCTAAATTATCTCAGTAGGTATTTTCTAGAACATTGTGGTAGATGTTTCTAAGAATATCTCTACATAAGAAGCAAGTATAGATACTTATTTCTAACTAGAGGCCTGGTGCACAAGATTTGTGCACTGGACGGGGGAGGGGAGGAGGAGTCCCTCAGCTCGTCCTGCGCCCTCTCATAGTCTGGGACCCCTCAGGGGATGTCTGCCTGCTGGCTTAGGCATGACCGTGCCTAAGCTGGCAGGCAGACATCCTTCTCACAGTCCGGGGCTCTTGTAGTCCAGGACCCCTTGCTCCTTACCATCCACCTGCAGCAGAGGTGGGAGAGGCTCCTGCCACCGCTGCTGTGCTCACCAGCTGTGAGCCCGGCTTCTGGCTGAGCATTGCTCCCCCTGTGGGGGCTAACTGACCAACAGGGAGCAGCTCCTGCATTGAGCGTCTGCCCCCTTGTGGTCAGTGCGCATCATAGCGACTGGTCATTCTGCCGTTCAGCCGATTTTCATATTAGCCTTTTATTATATAGGATTTTAATCCAGATGTCATCTGTGTGCCTATCCCGCTTCCCAAAGCCTACCATAGCTTAGTGTGCTTTCAATTTCCCAGAAAGTTCACTTGTCCAAGCTTTTTGTATTTTTTTTGTGTGAGGTAGAAATGTGTTTGGCTTCGGGAGGGTATATCTGTGATCAAGGAAGGCATTTTATCAATCCTTTTATCTTTTAACTTTGCACCAACTCACCTCCCTCATTTTTGAAATTAAGGAATCAATATTCCTTGCTGCTTCTAGCCCAGGACTTTGAGTTGGCTTTACCCTAAGGGGCTTCTTAACCTATTTTCCAACTGAGCAATTCTCATGAAGGCTAATCAGAGTAAAGAAGTTTTATCTACTAAAAAAATTTATGAGGCTAGGTTCTTGGTAGATTTATTTTTCTGTTCAGTTATTCCAATCAAGAAATTATTTTAACACATTGTTTGCGGGTAGTTTCTATCGCGCGCTAACAGGTGGCGCGGGCCATTTTTGCTAATTTTTTGCGCAAATGGCAACGTTCAGTAAAATTACGATAACTTTACTTTTACATATTTCTTTTCAATGAAACTTTCTGTGATTTACTATAAAATGTATACTGAATTACTTTTCTTAAATTTTAAACAAATACTGGAATTGTGTGAAGGGATGACTCTACGCAGTTGAATAGATTACTGTTATACCTGGAAGTACATACATAATTCACCATTGTATATGTTAGAGACCCACATTTTGTCCTTTGGAATTCGTATATCTGCATGTTAGCATCCCTTTAGAGCAATAAAAAAGTATAAAAATAAACGTATTTATACGTTACCTGCATTCTACCGCTAGTCTATAAAAAACGTATTAATACGTGTCCCGCGCTCTACTACCAGTCAGCGTAAGACGTATAAATACACTTCCCGCATACAATGTGTTAACTACTATTACTACAATGAGTTTGTTATATCTCTACAGAAGTTAGTGCTTAACTTTATTTTTAGGCACATGAATGCAGAAAAATATGAGTTTTGAGTTTCTCATTTTGACTGGTTTCCCTATACTCTTTGCTTTTCCTCCTCCCATACATTTTTATGTGATAATAGCCCAACTTATATCCTACTGGACATTAAAATTTTAAATTTATATGTGAACTATTGCCACTATTTATGCATGATGATTAGGAAAATTTAAAAATACCTTTTTTTTTGTTTCTTATCTGTATATATGCCTGGAGCCATTAATTCTTTTAAGAGATTAGTAAGAGGAAGATCAGAACTTTTTGGAAAATTATATACCCCAAATTTGGGGATGGGTGAGAAGTATAATATAAAAAATATGTATTCAGATGCTTCTGCCTTGAAATAAATAAATAAAATAAATAAATAAAATGTGCTTTTATTTTAGGAAGATTAAGTTTAATCTACATCCTAGTATTTTTGCTACAAGTGTTAGAGGTAAGGTAAAATTAAAGTATAGTGTGTCATATTATGATCTTTTAGACCTATGAAGTATTCCATAGGTTGATTAAAAATACAGATCTCAATCTGGATTTTTTCCCAATTGATCAATATGGAAGAAAGCTATTTGTCACAATCAGTTTCTAATCATGCTTTTTTTTTTTTTAAATCATCACTGGAGGATATTTTTTCCCATTGATTTTTAGAGAATGGAAGGGAGAAGGAAGGAGAGAGAGAGAGAGGGAATGAAAAGAGGAGAGGAAACGAGAGAAGAGAGAGAGAGGAGAGGGAAACATGAATGTGCAAGTGACACTAGCGGCGGGGAAGGAACCCAAAACCCTGGTATTTGCCCTTGACTGGGAATCCATCTGGAGACCCTTATGTGTGTGGGCTAATGCTCTAACCACTGAACTGCTGGTCAAGGCTAGTCATTCTTTTTAATAGTCCATATAAGAATCATGTATATCAAAAAAAAAAAAGAATCATGTATATCAAATACAGGGGTGGGCAAAAGTAGTTTTAGCAACATTTGAAGTGCTCAATACTGGTTTTCTACAATTGCTATATAGACAATTTCTTGCAGTCTGGACACTTGGGATATAGCTATGCATAAAGTAGACCAACCCTCAGCTCCCTGTGGCACATGTGTTCTAGATCTACAGGGACAAAGAGCGACAAACAGTTGAAATAACTTAATGTCAAAAGGGTAGAGAAAAGGAGCAGCTATTTTAGATAAGGGGACTAGAAATTGCTTTCTCAGGAGATAAATGGGCAGCATTCTCTGTTTACTTTAGTCTGCTGGCAAAACAAAGCTGTGGTGATATAAGTGGATGCAGTAAGTGCACTGTGGGAGCATTGTTATCCCGTGTGGTGGCCATGTATGGCTATTGAATCTTAGGAATAGGACCAGTGCAACTGTAATTAACTTAAATTCAGCTATCAAATGTAAGCATACTTGGAACGATGTGGGTGTGTGCATCTAAAGTTAATGAACTCTACAAGCATCGAAGAAATTTTATCACTTGAATTAGAGGTGTAAAATATACACAGTTACAAATGTTTTGGTATGAAGAAATGAATGTGAAATATCTTTTAATTTTAACATGGTTACATATTGAAGCAATACTTTGACTATATTGGTTAAATAAAATATGTATATTTAATAGAATATATATACTAATTTTATATGTTGCTTTTTACTCCCTTTAACTTAGCTTCTAAGAAATTTAAAATTTCTTTTTTTTGGTCTATCTTCTATTAAAAAATAATATCTTGAAACAATTATTAAAAATGTATATAGAGAGAACCCAGTTACATTTTTCTCACCGTTATAAAAATAACTTTATTTTCTTTAATTCATTGGAATATGCTAAGAATTTATCAGATTACAAAGAGGTACAAAACATCTTATTTAACTTGTTTCTAAGGCAATGTGTAATTATGGCCAATGTCTTTCTGGTGAAAAAAACTGTATTAAGTGTAACTTTACTGTCATGTACTAAATGTCTGGTCTTGGGATATTTACTAAATCCCTTAAACCTTGATTTCCTCATCAGTAAAATTCAGGGTTGAAGAAGGATAAAAGGAGACAAAGCAAAAGAAAAGAAAGTAAAGAAAACATCTATATCCAATTAAGTTAATTTGCTTCTTATAATTATATTAAATATTGTAATGACACTGTCACTTCTGTTTCCTTCCTTTTTAGTTGTTTGCAATAATGTCTTGTAACTTTCATTCTTAATTTAGCAAACTGACCAATGAAAACATCTTTTGGTAATAGTTATTCTTAGGACATTTTTTTCTTTGTGTTGCTTAGCGATTATCAACCTTTTTCATTTCATGGCACACATAAACTAATTACTAAAATTCTGCAGCACACCAAAAAATATATACTTTGCCAATCTGACAAAAAATAGGTATAATTTTGATTCATCCACACAAGATGGCTATTGTTGTGTTTGCTGTTGCCATTTTTTTTATTTGACAATCTAAGGAAAAAGAGGTGAGTGCCCCTGACTAAATAGTCAGGCATTACACGTTTTAAAAATTCTTGTGGCACACCAGTTGAAAATCATTGATCTAGCTTAAAAGAGCAAATAGATTCTCAACCTTCCTAATGCTGCAACCTAATACAGTTCCTCATCTTGTGGTGACCTCCAACCATAAAATTATTTTTGTTGCTACTTCATAACTGTAATTTTGCTACTGTTATGAATCGTAATGTATGTAAATATCTGATATGCTGTATGTGTTTTCCGATGGTCGCAACCCACAGGTTGAGAACCGCTGAAATAGAAAATGCGAATAGAAAATAAAGATAACTGTAAACATTTGATTGCTGCCATATAGCCACTAGGGGGAGCCTAAACTCCACAGGACCAAGGTGACTATTTTGAACAAAGGTTAATCCTTCATATAAGAAGTTATTGATTGATCATTAGATTTGTGCTAATTATTTTTTTGCTACACTGAGGATGGATCTGTCCCAGTCCATTCGTGTAATCTTACCCAAATCTGCTAGAGTTGTGTTGTAGTTTGGCCATAAATATACCTTCTTTAAAAATTATATATTAATGCATTCAAGTCTAAGGTAATATTCTTAGCAAATCTTAGAATAGTTAATAGGTAAAATTTCTTATGTTTGCACTTTTCTTTGGGTTAGTGCTGGTTTAAAATAACAATTTTTTTATCTTTTCTTTACAAGATTGTAATCCCAGAATCTCATTACGTGGTCTGTAGTGATATAATTCATTTATTTTTAATCTATATCTATTTTAAAAATATATCTAAATATTTTTTATTTCAGAGAGGACTGAAGAGGGGGAGAGAGAGAAACATCAGTGATGAGAGAGAATCATTGATCAGCTTGCCTCCTGCACGCCCCACCCTGGGGATTGAGCTCACAATCTGGGCATGTGCCCTGACCGGGAATTGAACTGTGACTCCTGGTTCATAAGTTGATGCTCAGTCATTGAGCCATGTTGGCCGGGCTATTTTTATCATTTTAAATAAATAATTTGAGGTTGAACTTTAAAGTTTGTTAAGTACATACCATTAGGTGTCAGGATGAGACCAGTTTACTTGGTGATTGTGCAGAAGTGCAAGAGAGTTATTGGAACATCCAGTTCTCAGGAGATAAATTGCTCATATTAAGCTTACATTTTCTTTCACTTTTATTTTCCTTTGTATTTATATCTACTTAGTACTGTCTTCATAAAATATTTAAGCAAATATGGTAAGTCCTGAAACATTTTTGTCATCAAGATTCTCTTAAAACCTTTGTTTAAAGTTTCCATATTTATTTATTTGTTTACTTCATTCCAGGATGTCGGCTCTAAGAGAGTAGGGATCTTATTTATCATTGAATGATTTATCCTCATTTTCTAGCAAGTCTTTATTAAACGTTTGTTCAGTGAATGAATGACACCAACTGTAGGACAGATGATGTTTACTAATGAGAAGACAAAAATAAACAAAATGTGTTCCCTGCACTCTTGGGATTTGGAGTTTATTGGGTATCTGTAGAGCTGTAAGCAAACTGACCATTTTGTTGTAATGAAGGGAATTGCAAATGCTCTGAAAACATAGACACAAATATACACCTATGTTGGGAAGACTTCACTTAGATAACTTTTGAGCATATCTTAAAGGTGAGTATGTACTTGCCAGTTACTGACTTAAAAAATAATTTTTTTTTTTTTTCTGAGGGAGAGGGTAGGGAGGGTGTAGTTAAGGGCTAATAAGAACGTGTTGGGGAGAAGACAAAAAGTTTAGATAAACTGTGATTGATCTAAGTTAAGGAGTTTTGCTGTTTATCTTTTAGGTAACTAGGAGTCAGGTCAGTTATTTTAAATACAAGAGTAACTGGAGGAAATGGAAAGCAGAGGGACCAGATAGAACATTGATCCACTGCCCCACCCCCAATGTGATATTTGAAAGAATCTTTAGTGTCAGGTTTGCTCAAATTCCAGACAGGAGTAATTCAGTAGTAAAATGAATTTAACATTCTTGTTGGTGTGTAGATGGGGGAGAGGGAAATGTAATGGTCTGGGAGTTTCTGGTTTGGTGGAGTGATGGTGATACTACTAACAGACATGAAAGGTAAGTGTATTCAAGATTGTGGCTGGGGTGTGGGTGACTGCCTGAGGGTGAGGAAAATGGATGTTGGAATCTGTTGGATTTTATATATTTTGGTTTGGAATACCTATGGTTGTTGGGATTTTAAAAACTACACAACCTGTTTACCTGGTAAAAGCGTTCTCTCAGGGCACTACCATGTATTGCTGAAGGTGACTGGTGCCCTGACTGGTCCTGCTTTTACTTCTGCTCTTGCAGTTTATTCTCCGAGTAATATCTGCTGCTTCCTTTAGAAATGTCAGTTAGATCATCATTCCTGTCCTTCAGATGCAGCCACTTTCTGTCTGTATCAAAATCCAACTACATCGTAGGGCACAGGGCTTTATTTGATCTGCTCTCAGTGGAACTTTCCAGCCTCATACACCTTTCATTCCTTGCTTCCTAAATACTCAGGTGGTTCCTCTGTCTCCCCAGGTATTTTGGTAGGTTTCCAAAGAAAGAGCTCCCTAGTAGAAGGACACATCATCTCTTCTCATTCTTGTCACTTTTTCAGTAGGTGATATTTACTTTTTGTGCCCACATTTTATTAATCTTTTATTAATGTTCTCAGTATCATAGCACAATGTTTGGCATGCAGTATTTGTTGACCCATCTGAGGGAAAATCCAGGAGAAAAATAGAGAGTAATGGCACAGATTTATAGTTTTCACTACCAGTTCGAAGTGTGTGGATAAGAATTGCAGATGGCTTATTTAGTCAATAGTTATCGAGCATTTTTATCTCAACTCTTTAGAATTGCTCCCCATCTTTGAGCTTGTACTCTGGTGGGTGGCAGTAGAAATTACGGGAAGCAGTAACGAATTCTCAGGCAACTGGATGTTTGTGACAAAGCAAGAAGAGTCAGCAGAGAATATGAGTCCAGTTTTTAGTAAAATTGGGATGTGTACTCCTACATAAGTATAAATAGAGATATGTCTAAAAAGAAAGTACCAAGAGAAGTGGAGAGAGTGAATATATAAAGGGAGTAATTTGGGATGATGGATGGAAGTCCAGATCTCTTTATCTGTGGCTGGAGAGGGGATAGGTAGAAGACAAGTTCTTATCAATTGGAACAATAATCTCAGGGTTTGTTTAAATTTTTAAACTTTAAAATCACAGTATATCTTTTGTGTATTGGCTATACCCGTGGTTGGCAAACTGCGGCTCGCGAGCCATATGTGGCTCTTTGGCCCCTTGAGTGTGGCTCTTCCTAAGCCTTAGGAGTACCCTAATTAAGTTAATAACAATGTACCTACCTATATAGTTCAAGTTTTGGCTCTCAAAAGAAATTTCAATCATTGTACTGTTGATATTTGGCTCTGTTGACTAATGAGTTAGTTTGCCAACCACTGGGCTATACTGATATAATGCTTGGTGTTGGTGGAACACCAAGCAAGGAGAAGAACAGAGGAACTGTAGTAAGTTTAAATGCTTGCTTGAAATGTCCAAATTTTACTCAGTTCTCTTTAGGAAAGTAATTTTTTTCTAATTGAGTGTAAAATGAAGACTGCTGGTTTTAAAAGTTTACATATTTATTTTCCTCTTTTATCTTACATGGCTGTACATTGAAGAGACAATTAGAAGCAGCAAAAGTGTGGGGTAGGTTAGCAGTTAAGAGCAACTCATCAGGAAATGTTCAAAACTGTCTCTTATTAAAATGCAACAATTTCTCATTGATGTGGCTATCCATATATACTTCTATGTGATCATCATATGCACTTCTACAGACATGGAAGGTCTATTGATGGTAACCCACCTAGTAATTGAACTTTAAAATGACAAAGTGGTTAAGGTATCAAAGAAATAATTCAGTAGACCTTGTGTGTTGTTATAAAGGGTACACCTAATCCTCTCAGAGGCTTTGATAAATAAGTTGAGTATTGCACCAAAAAACACTGAAAAAATCATTTGCACAAATATTGGGAGGATGAAAAGCATGTAATGCTTCGTTTGAAGAAACATTTCTCTGTTTTTTTGTGTGTGTTAATAGTTCCATTTTGAGAGTGGATAATTCCGATATTCTAATGGGTTCTTAAATGTGACTATTCCCTTCCACCTTTCCTGTTTTTTCTTGCTGCTTTTATTATGGTCTTGAAGTTTAAATTTTTCACTGTTCAATCGGATGGATTGTAGAGATTTTTAAAATTACCTATAAAATAAGCATAGTTAGTTTCTCAGGATTGCCTTTAAAATGATTTGAAATTTTTCTAAGAGGACAGGTTAAATTAAGATTTTCTTAGTGATAGGGTAGACATTACTGAAGTTCCTGTGTTTTAGTTTTTCTTTTATTATGTACTAGAGGCCTGGTGCATGAAATCATGCACCAGTGGGGTCCCTCAGCCTGGCCTGTGGGATTGGGCCAAAATAGGCTCTCTGACATCCCCCAAGGGGTCCCAGATTGTGAGACAGCTCAGGCCAGGCCGAGGGACCTCAACGGTGCATGGTCGGTGCCAGGGAGGGAATCGGGAGGTTGGTCAGCTGGGGAGGGACCGTGGGAGGGCTCCAGGGCGTGTCCGGCCCACCTCGCTCAGTCCCAATCTGCCGGAGCCCAGCAGCAAACTAACCTACCAGTCGGAGCATCTGCCCCCTGGTGGTCAGTGCACACAATAGCGACTGGTTGAACAGTTGACTCTCTGCCCTCTGGTGGTCAGTGCACATCATAGTGAGCAGTTTAGCGGCCTTAGCATATCATTAACATATTACACTTTTGACTGAACGGACCACTGGACACTTAGCATATTAGGCTTTTATTATATACGATATTTAGTATGTTTGCATAAGTATCCTGAGCTATATATGTTATAGTGAATGCAAATGAATATGAGCAGGTCAGGAAGAATGGGAGTGCCACCACGTTTTGGCTAATAACTTGTTACAGTGGTATCTAACTTCTTTTGGGGGACAAATGAAATCAAGTCAAGTTTGCCAAAGTTCTAATATAACTTGTTTCTATATAGCTAATATATAGTACATGAAATATAAATATATTTTAATACATTTATTTACTCAAGTCATGCTAAAATTTCTATCTTTATACTCAATAGGGTGGAAAGAGGATTGTTTTTTCTTTTTTAACTAGAGGCCTGGTGCACAAAATTTGTGCACTGAGGCGGGGGTGTCCCCCTCAGCTGGCCTGTGCCCTATCACAGTCCAGGGGCCCTCGGGGGTTTTCCAACTGATGGCTTAGGCCCGTTCCCTGTCTCCACCACTGCCGCTGTGCTTGCCAGCCATGAGTCCGGCTTCTGGCTGAGCAGCGGTCCCCCTGTGG